GCATGTGTGTGTGTGTGGGGGGGGGGGGGGTTGTTTCTATCTTGTAACGACTCTAATCTTCCTCACTTATAAAACCGTCTTATGTTGCAAGTGCCGTGAAACCCTAACTAAAACTAAAACGTAAAACATAGATCTATAGTCAACTTCATCCATCTATTATAAAGCATACATACAGGCCCTAGTTTCTTTCGATGCACAATTTCACTGGAGCAGAAGTAGTAATTTCGCAGCTGTATGTATCGACGTTTATAGCAGCATAAATTTAAGAATTAGTTCTGAATTTACCATACATTTTTCCAACTTAAGCTCTTTATACATTTTATCACCGTTTGACATACTGTCTTTAGGCATGTCTTTTGGCTAGGGTTGAGAAAATAAACATTCAAGAGAAAAAGGAGGACTGATTTTCTTTTCAGACAGGATTCACATTGCATGCTTACATTTTTGTATTATGACCAAGAACATACCAGTAGTCGATTGCTGTTTTGTGTGTCTCAGGGAACAGAAAATAAATTATGGTCTCCTTTAAATGCGAAAACATTTTCATTGTGCTCTATGATATGAAGTCAAAAGTCAGTTCGGTCGCAGGCAAAATTTGGAAGAAAAAAATATGTCAGAAGTGGGATTCGAACCCACGCCTACAGATGTAGACTGCGACCTGAACGCAGCGCCTTAGACCGCTCGGCCATCCTGACTGCTGAGCGCAGTAAGCGAAGAAGCGAGTCGAACGCGAAGCCATGACTGTTCATGTTGGACAAACAGCAAGAGCTGAGCGTTTACTCTCTCTCTCTCTCTCTCTCTCTCTCTCTCTCTCTCTCTCTCATGCCGTTGCTGTCAGCTCTCGCATTTTAAGCTAAGTTGGTTTTGGCCTAGATGTAGCCTACTTGTAAAGAGAAGGTCTGCTTTAAATTTATAATTGATTGTGTCAGTTCGTCATGCAATGTAGATCTAGATCTAGATCAGATCTAGGTCCAGAGTTTTGCAACACATTTAGGTCATATAAGCCTCGAAGGTAAGAGGTCTTAAAAGAGATTTTGAAAACACAAACACGATAGATGCTTGAATAAGGAGCAAATCACACCAGAGCACCCACCACCCACCCAAAAGTGTTCAGTCTGTGTACCTTGCTCAAGACACAATAATATGATCTATTATTGTGTTTTGTAACAACACTGTTATAGGGAGAAGTCCGAAGGCTTCAAGAGAAATTGTTTCCATTAGCCTATCATTTATAGGTCTAGAGTTGTGTCTTTTTCTCTTCTACAAAAAAAGTTTACATCTTTTCGTCGCCGTCTTGTAGATCTAGATCTAGATCTAGATCTATATGCTCTTATTTGATATGTTATTCTTCTGTGAGTGTGTGGGGGGGGTTGGG